ATCACCCAGCACCATCCCAGCACCACCCAGCACCATCCCAGCATCATCCCAGTATGATCCCAGTATCAATCACCCAGCACCACCCAGCACCATCCCAGCGCCATCCCAGCACCACCCAGCATCATCCCAGCATCATCCCAGTATGATCCCAGCACCATCCCAGTATCACCCATCACCATCCCAGTATCACCCAGCACCATCCCAGCACCACCCAGCACCATCCCAGCACCATCCCAGCATCATCCCAGCACCATTCCAGCGCCATCCCAGCACCATCCCAGTATGACCCCAGTATCAATCACCCAGCACCATCTCAGTATGCTCCCAGCACCATCCCAGTATCACCCATCACCACCCCAGCACCACCCAGCGCCCCGGGCAGGCCCCCCCCGTTCCGGGCCGGGCCGGATCGGATCGGATGGGATCGGATGGGATCGGATCGGATCGGACCGGTGACAGCCCCGCACTGTTTATTTGGGATGGAGGGGATGCAGCCGGAGCGGAGGCAGCCCCAGCTGCTCTCTTTGGGAAGGATGGAATGTAGGGCAGGCCGGAGCATCCCGGGCCATCCCTCCCTCCCCGCACGGAGCGCGGCATGTGAGGCCAGGCCCGGGCGAGGGGGGCCCGGGGGCCGCTGCCCGTCCGTGTGTGCCGGCACGCTCCGGCTCCGGCTCCGGAGGTTTCTCCCAAGGAATTTTTTTGCCGTGGATGAGCGGTAGCGAGGCTGTGATGCACCCAGGATGAGCCCCCAGCTCCCCAGGGTGCCCCCCACCCACCCACCCCGCTGTTCCTCCTTCCTGCTCTCGCTCCAGGGTTTGTTATTCCAGCTCGGTCACGCTGATCTCCTCTCCAGAGAGGCCTTTGTTCTGCTCGGGAGAGGTTTAATTCCCGCTTTTGTCATTAGCATAGGAGTACAAAGAAAGGTGAAGGCAGAAAATCGCTCCTCTCCCCCAGTTCCCGGGATCTCTGCAGTGCAGAGCGGAGCTGCTGGCAGGAGGGAGGTGCCAGCCCGGCCTGGGGAAGGATTTGGGACCTGGGGGGTGCTGGGGATCCCAGCTGAGCCAGGGGAGCAGGAGGTGCCACCCTGCTGGCGTTAGTCCTGAGTGCTCCGTGTGGGCACGCTGCCCTTGGCTGGGCATGGTGGGAGCCCTTGGCTGCATCCCAGCGCCTCCCAGATCCCTGGGAAGCTGCTCCGGCCTTGGCTGCATCCCTGCGTGCATCCCATTCCCTGTGCCCATCCCATCCCATCCCATCCCATCCCATCCCATCCCATCCCATCCCATCCCATCCCATCCCATCCCATCCCATCCCATCCCATCCCATCCCATCCCATCCCATTCCCTGTGCCCATCCCATTCCCTGTTCATCCCCATCCCTGTGCCCATCCCATTCCCTGTGCCCATCCCAACCCTGTGCCCATCCCTGTGCCCATCCCATCCTATTCCCTGTGTTCATCCTCATTTTCTGTGCCCATGCCTGTTCTCACCCCATTCCCTGTGTTCATCCCCATCCCTGTGCCCATCCCTGTGCCCATCCCATTCCCTGTGCCCATTCCCTGTGCTCATCCCATTCCCTGTGCCCATCCCTGTGCCCACCCCAGCACCTCCCCTGCCTCTCCATTCCCATTTTTCCTCACGTTTTTGCTGGAATGGAGCCCCTCACCCTCATCTTCACGATCCTTTTCCCGATCTGATTCCGGGATCGCTTTCCCGATCTGATTGTGGGATCCTTTCCTGATCTGATTCTGGGATCCCTTTCCCCATCTGATTCACCAGGTGGATCTGTCAGGAAAATCTGTTCCCAGCTGAGCCTCAATCCACATTCCGAAAACAAATCCCTGCGGCAGGACCCTCCCCAGGGATGTCCCCGGGCGGGTGACATTGGGATCAGACACCTCAGCTTTTCCCAGGCTGTTCTGGACCCAAAAATCTGCTGTTCCCATGAAGAAATCCCGCTCTGGAGGCCACCCCCTGCCCCATGCCCAGGCTGATACATTCTGCCTGGCCCCACAAGGGGCGAAGGCGAATTCCCGGGATCAGGAATGCAAATCCCGAGGAGGGAAAGAGGCAGCGAGGAGGGAGAAGCTGTTCCGAGCCAATCCCTCTCCCGGAGGTGGCATTTCAGCAGATGGAGGAGTGGAGTGGAGTGGAGTGGAGCTGTCTGAGGAGGATGTGATGGAAATGTGAATATGGAGAGGAGGCTCTGGCTGCCTGCTGGGAGCTGGGATCGCCCTGGAGCAAAATTCCTGGGCACTGCCCTCACCCAGATCCTCCTGGAACATCCCCGGGCACTGCCCTCACCCAGATCCTCCTGGAACATCCCCCGGGCACTGCCCGCACCCAGCTCCTCCTGCCGGCCCTTTGCAGCACCAGGAGCTGATTTTTAGGGGTCATTAAAGCATTTTTGGGGTTCTCTTTGAGAGGTGGATGGCGCTGGGGCAGCATTTTGAAGGCTCTCACTGCCTGTGCTGCCCCGGCTCTGGGAGCAGACAGGGAAGGTGGCACAGGGGTGATGCCAATCCCGTGCCAGGAATTGCCAGGACAGGCTCTAATGCCAAACCCTCCACTCTCCAAGCCGGATCTTCATTCCTGAGGGTTTGGAATGAATATTTATCTATCAGTACTGCTAATTAGGCCTCTTAACGATGCTCCTGCCCTGCGTTGGAGCTGATAAAATGCGGCTGATGTGCGAGAGGAGCCACGGGCTGGCTCGGGGATGTGCTTCGCCTCCAGATCAACAGCAGGGCTCGGATAAAATTTTCCATCGTGTTTTTCTCACGTTCTGCTTCTCCCGCCGCCGCCTCGGGAGGGGGACACATGGTGGGAGTTGTGATTTTCCCCTCCAGGTGTTCCCCCGTATTTCCGTGGCTCCGTGTCCCGGTGCTGTTCAGGGCCAGGGACGAGGCGGGCAGGAGGGAGGATTCCTCCCGGATCTCTCTCCGTGCTGCTTCCCATCTGCTGGATTATTTCAGCATTTAATTATTTACCGCAGGCTGTGTGGGCAGCTGTACAGAGGCAGTTATTGCTTAATTGAGCTACTTGACTCCAGCGCTGCCAAAATAGGAAAAAAAAGGATCCCCTCACTTTGTAGGGCAGCACGGGAAGCAGGGACAGCACAATCCCTGGAAAAATCCGGATTTCCATGGGAGATTTGGGGTGATGCCACCTTCATCGCATCCCTCCCCTCGCTCCCGACTCCAAAGCTGAGGGAGAGGGAAGCCCCAGGGAGCGGCGCCAGGGCAGGGAGGTGACACGAGGTGACAACGCCCTGCAGAGGAGGTGCCAGCGTCCATCTGCCGGGAACCCCAAACCTGGAGCCGGGATGGCCCCGGGAATCTCTGCCCTTCCCAGAGTTCAGTCCATCCCCTCCCGCTGGGGCTGGAAAGGAGCTTTGCAGCGTTTTCCCAACTCCCGGAGGGAATCCAGCCCCCGTCCCCGCCCCTTCCACCCCTGTGACCTCCCCATCTGTCACCCGGCCCGGTGTCCCCAGGACCCCCCCGCTGGCTCCATCCATCTCCATTGCCTGGGAACGCAGAGCGCCGTGGATGAAAGCTCGGGATAATTGAGATTATTAGGGAATCCAGCAGGACGCAGATCGGCGCCGAGCAAACATCTGCCTGCTGCTCCTCAGGGAGCCCGGGCAGGCAGCGGGGAGAGGCCCCATCCCATTTCCCATCCCATTTTCCATCCCATTTTCCATCCCATTTTCCTCTGGAGTGCTGCTGGGAAGGAGGGTGAAGCAAGGAAAACCCAGGAACGTGTTTTGGGATGTGCAGCCCCCGGGGTGTGGGATTTGGGATGGGGTGAGGGGGGTTGTCACATCCAGAGGCTCGGGTGGGGTTTGGGATGGCCAAATCCAGTGGCCAGCAGCAATCCCATGGGAATTGGGGGTTTATCACCGCTGTGGGGTGGGAGGGAACGCTTTGGGGTGTGTGGGGGAGGGGTGGGAGCCATCAGTGTGCTCTGGGATGCTCCTGGTGCCGGCACAGGGACAAGGCCGGGAGCTCGTCCAGCACCGAATCCCGGCTCTGCCAGCCTGGGAATGGGGCGGGAATGGGGTACTGGGGTGATACTGGGGTGATACTGGGATGATCCTGGGGTGATACTGGGTGATACTGGGGTGGTACTGGGTGATACTGGGTGGTACAGGGGTGATACTGGCGTGATACTGGGGTGATGCTGGGTGATACTGGGGTGATGCTGGGTGATACTGGGTGATACTGGGTTGATACTGGGGTGATGCTGGGGTGATGCTGGGTGATACTGGGGTGACACTGGGTGATACTGGGTGATACTGGGGTGATGCTGGGATGATGCTGGGGTGAAGCTGGGTTGATGCTGGAGTGATACAGGGGTGATACTGGGGTGACACTGGGTGGTACTGGGTGATACTGGGGCGATGCTGCCCTGCTGACCCCACCGCTCCCATCCGCGTCCTTGTGCCACCTCTCCCACCCTGCCCAGGAAAAAGAGGAAGAGAAGGGGAAAAAGGGAAGGGGAAAAAGGGAAGGGGAAGGGAACAAAAGGAAGGGAAGGAAAGGGAAAGAAAAGGAAGGAAAAAAGAGGGGGGAAAAGGAAAGGAAATAAAGGAAAAGGAAGGAAAAAGGGGGGGAAAGGAAAGGAAGGAAAGAAAAAGGAAGAAAAAAAGGGGGGAAAAGGAAGGGAGGGGAGGGAAAGGGGGAAAAAGGAAAGGGAAAAAAAAAGAAGGAAGTGAAAGAGAATGGAAGGAATGGGGAAAAAAGGAAGAGGAAAACAGGAAGGGAAGGAAACAGGAAGGGAAGGATGTGGTGGAGCAGCTCCGGCGCTGTTTTGGTGCCAGGAGCGCGGTTGGAGTTTCCCAGCCTGAGGATCTCCAAAATCCCCTCGGGAAAAGCCCGAATCCCGCCGGGAAGGGACGGCGAGTTTGTCTCGCTGCCAGCTCCTGCTCGTCGCTCCGGCGCGCCAGCTTGTGCCGCTAATTGTCTGTTAATTACAACAGAGCCGTAGTCAGGGGTGCTTTAATTAGCGCTGAGCCTCATCCAGGGATGGAGATGGGACGGCGTGGGGAGGAACTGGCATTCCTGCGGGATGGGAAGCGCAAGGAATTCTCAGGGAAAAGCGTCGGGATGAGCAAAACTCAGTCGGATCAGGCCTTTTGCTGACCCAGAGATGGGAGAGGCGTTTAAAAACCGTGATTTTAAAATAAAAAAAGGAGCTAGGATGGCTGGATCCGTGCAGGAGAGTCTCTCCCAGCATCACCCAAAACCAGTTGTCAGGGCTGCTTTGTGCTTTCCTGTATTTTCTCACCTGTAAAAGTCCCACCGCAATTATCCCGTTTTTTATCTTTACGGCCTTGGCTGCTGCGGGAGATATTGGATCCATATCGGAGCGAGAAAAGGACATGAAAAAAGCTCCTGAGAGCCCAGAGGAGATCACTCACGGGGCTTTGATTAAGCACCCGCAGCTAACCCAGGTGGAATTTATGGCTCTTAAAATGTGTTTCACCCGGAGCCAGGAGCTGGATCCTTGGGAGAGCCTGGGATTGGTGGCGTGGAGAGTGGGGACCCCCCAAAAAACCGTCACAACCTCAGGGTGGGGTTCTGGGAGGGTGAGAAGTGATTTGGGTGTGCTGGGATGGAGGGAGGTGACAATTCCAGGAACTGGGATTTAATTCCTGCTGGGATTTAATTGTTGGGCAGGACAGAGGATCCACGTCCTGTGGCTGTGGAGATGTTTTCACCCTCAAAAATCCTCTCACAACCTCAGGGTTCGGTTCTGGGAGGGTGAGAAGTGATTTGGGTGTGCTGGGATGGAGGGAGGTGACAATTCCAGGAGCTGGGATTTAATTCCCGCTGGGATTTAATTCCTGAGGAGGACACAGGATCCGTGTCCTGTAGCTGTGGGGATGGTTTCACCCCCCAAAAAATCCCTCACAACCTCAGGACTGGATTCTAGGAGGGTGAGAAATGATTTGGGTGTGCTGGGATGGAGGGAGGTGACAATTCCAGGAGCTGGGATTTAATTCCTGCTGGGATTTAATTGCTGAGGAGGACACAGGATCCGTGTCCTGTAGCTGTGGGGATGGTTTTACCTCCAAAAAATCTCCTCACAACCTCAGGATTTGGTTCTAGGAGGGTGAGAAGCGATTTGGGTGTGCTGGGATGGAGGGAGGTGACAATTCCAGGAGCTGAGATTTAATTTCTGCTGGGGCAGGATCCGTGTCCTGTTACTGTGGGGATGTTTTCACCCCCAAAAATCCTCTCACAACCTCAGGGTTGGGTTCTGGGAGGTTGAGAAGTGATTTGGGTGTGCTGAGATGGAGGGAGATTAATTCCTGCTGTGTCAGGATCCGTGTCCTGTTACTGTGGGGACTCTGTCACCTCCCTGAGCCCACCTGGGCGCATTTTGGGGTGGTTTTAGGGCTGATATCCAACCCCAACCCTGCTGTTCCCCAATTTCTGGAGCACTCAGCATCCCTTTTCCCAGGAGCCATTTATCCCGGGGATATTTTCCGCTCCTCATCCATTCCCCGCGCTGATCCAGGTGTTCATGATCCCGCCGGGGTTATGATGCGCATTAAAAAAAAACCAAAAAAAAAAGAATTCAATAAGAAAGGGCCGGCGGGGGATGGCAGCGCCCATCTGTCACTGTCACCGTCACCAGAGCCGGGATGATCCCAAAAGGAGCCGGGAGCTGCTGCTATCCGTGGATAGCGGTGGGTATTGGTGGGTATTGATGGGTATTGGTGGGTATTTATGGGTATTGGTGGGTATTGGTGGGTATTGGTGAGTATTGGTGGGTATTGGTGGATATTGGTGGGTATTGGTGGGTATTGGTGGGTATTGGTGGGTATTGGTGGGTATTGGTGGGTATTGGTGGGTATTTATGGGTGTTGGTGGGTATTCGTGGGTATTTATGGGTGTTGGTGGGTATTTATGTGTATTGGTGGGTATTGATGGGTATTGGTGGGTATTGGTGGATATTTATGGGTATTGGTGAGTATTGGTGGGTATTGGTGGGTATTGGTGGGTATTGGTGGGTATTGGTGAGTATTGGTGGGTATTGATGGATATTTATGGGTATTGGTGAGTATTGGTGGGTATTGGTGGGTATTGGTGGGTATTGGTGGATATTTATGGGCATGAATTTTTATTGGTGGATATTGATGGATATTGGTGGGTATTGGTGGATATTGATGGGTATTGGTGGGTATTGGTGGGTATTGGCGGGTATTGGTGGTCATTGATGGGTATTGGTGGATATTGTTGGATATTGGTGGATATTAATGGGCATCAATGGTTATTGATGGATATCAGTGGATTTCGATGGGTGTTGGTGGATATTGATGGTTATTGGTAGGTATTGATGGATATTGATGGTTATTGATGGATATCAATGGATATTGATGGTTTTCAATGGATAGCAATGGATTTTGATGGATATTGACAGATATTGATGGATGGAGGCCGCTGGGAATTGGGGCCAGGCCCAGATGACCCCACCAGCCCCTGGGTGCTGAGGGTTGGGGGTTGCTGGCTCCACTCCTGGGTGCCCAGGGCGGAGGATTCAGGAATTTTCCTGAATTATCCAGCAGAAGTGTGGCTTTGCAAGAGCTCTGATGCCACTTGGGATGTCCCCCAGGGCTTGGTGGCTCTGACTTTGTCACTCCCCGCCTGTTTTTGGGGGCTTTTGGGGCTCTTTGCTTTGGTTGCTGCCTCTGTTTTCGGGCGAGCAGGGAGGGAGGATGAAGAAAATCAGCCGGGAACGGTGCCGGGATTGTCCCCAAGTGGCGCTGGCAGCCTGGCACCTCCGGTTTATGCCAAATGCCAGCCCGGAGAGCCCGGAATGTGCGCTCCTGGTGGGGAAAGAGCCACCCCTGCGGCGCTCCGGGGGTGGGGACTGTCACTTAACAGCGCTTAATGAGCACTTCCAGCATTATGGAAATTCGCTCTTCACCCCGAGGGAGGAATCCGAACAAGAGCGAACGCTTTTTTTCCTTTTTTTTTTTTTTTTGGTCCTTTTTCCCTTTAATCTCTCCACGGATCGCTCTTTCCTTTTCTCCTCGCTGCTCCTTTTCATTTAGCAGCAAAGCAGGCGGGAGATCACAATTCCAGAGGTTGGCACCCCCTGGATACCTGAGACCCCCTGAGTGAGGCCTCGCTCCTGATCCTTTAAATCCCTCCCCAAACCCCTCTGGAGAAGCTTCTGCACCCTCAGTATTGGCAGCTCCAGGAAAAATCCTGCACATCCCATCCCTGGAAATGCCCAAGGCCAGGTTGGATGGGGCTTGGAGCACCCTGGGATAATAAAACGTGAAACCAGATGGGTTTTAAGGCCCCTCCTAAGCTAAAATTATCCCCCAAGTGCCCCAAAATCCCATCCTGGTGATCTGAGCACGCACGTGCTGGATCAACCCCTTGGAAAAACATTTGGCTTCGTGCACATCCGCCTCCTGGAAGTACTTTTAGCTCCTTCCCTTTATAATTATTCCCGGGATGAGCAGGCAGCTCGAAGACCTGGGAGGAAATGTGTCAGTCACACAATGATTTCCTTGAGAGTTTTTTCCTTTTTTTTTTTTTTTTCTCCCCTCTCCCCATCCCCCCTTCAAATGAAAGTTGGCTAATGGCTCATTGCGAAAAAAATAATTGCCACTGATTTCTCCAAATTGCAGAAAATGTATTAATGACGCGCTTTTTTAATTTTTCTTTTTTTTTTTTTTTTTTTTCCTCGAGACAGAAATAACGCAATTTGCATTTAAATGCGGCCGATCTTTGCAAACTCCGCTCGGTGTTTTCTTGCAGCCACGTAAAAATACGGAGAGATCTCAGCGCAGGTGGCAGCGGGTGGCTTCAGCCCGAGGTGGTGGTGGCACTGCCAGCCCCGGTGCCCAGCGGGATTTGGAATTCCAGCAGGAATTCATCTGGCATTCTCCAAATCTGTCCCCGTCTTCTCTTCATTAATAACTTTACCCATCATTTTATTTCTGCCTTGTTAGCCAGACCCCACAGAGAAAGGCAAAACGATGGATTTGTGGGGTGGGATTCAAATCCTTTGGGAAGGGGAAGCTCCAGGAATGGCCCCATCACGCGGGGTGAGGATTTTTGGGGTTTTTGCTATCCGTGGGTGAACAGATGAGGGGATTGGGGTCACCAGGCCCCTTTCCTGCCTTTTTATCCCGCTGGGATGATGTGGGAGCGGCGCAGGGATTTGGGATCATCCCCTGCAGCCCCGTCCGCTCCTCCATCGCGGCTGCCGTGCTTTAATTCCCGATCAGGCAGAAAATCGCTCGGTTTTAGGAGATCAGGACGGGCTCAGAACTGTGGAAATTGGACTTTTCCCTGGATTTGGCAGGGCTGAGGAGCTGAGAGCGAAATCCCCCCCCTCGGCACTTCCAGTGGGAAATGAAGAGGAGCCGAGCGATCAGGAGGAATCTTCGCTCTCATCTTCCTCTTCCCGAGCTCCTCCTGCTCAACTGGGTGGGGAAACTGAGGCACGGGGCCGGTGGGGAGGATTTGGGGGTTTGAGGGAACATTCCCGAGGGTTCAGGGTCTCCCTGTGCCCTGGGATTCCTCCCTCCCACCCTTTCTTGTGGGATAGACGCTTTTATCTGAAGGGAAATATTTGCTTTATCCATGGAACAAGAACTGGGTTTTTTCCATCTGTGGGGTCACTGTTTGTGCCCCGCTGCTCCCACAGCGGGCAGGACCCTTCCTGGGGGCTGATTTCCTGGAAATTCCTGGGAATTCCCGGCTCTGCTGAGAGAGGAAAACTGAGAAGGAGAAATTCCAGGTGGGCCAGGAGGGATTTGCCTGGCTGGGAGTTGGTGAGCCCCTTCCCCTCCCATCCCAGGGATCTGCTCCATCCCAAAAGGAGCAGTTTTGGGGTGCAGGATGTTGGGAAGTGCTGGGAATTCTGGCTGCACCCCCAGCACGGTGTGGGGAGGTTGAATTCACCCGGTTGTGCTTCATGTGTGGCTCCATAAAAAGCAAATCACCCAAAAAGCGAAAAGGAGGAGGAAAAACATTCCCTTCTTTATTCCCTGCCCTCTCCTGCCTGGATCTTTCCAACAGCTTTTTCTCTT